GTATTTCAAACATGGGTGTTTTTACGAATATTAAATGAATTATGTTTTTTATAAAATGCGAAAAATTGTTTTGAAATTTACGGTGTTACAAGTTGGTATCAGAGCCTTGGTTTGAGGGATTCGGATACACCTTCGGGAGTATTTGAACTCAAACTGAGGACTTGGAAAATATACTGCATACTGCATCGGGTCGTAGACCGGAACACATAACAAATAAATCCTGTCTATGCCACAAAGGCATCAAACATACTAACTACTGCATCGGACCGAAGTCTGGAAACTACTACTAGCTAAACGGGTCGGCATTGTGGCCTTATACCCGTTCCTACTGGAAGGAAACTCACCTAAACTGCTGAGCTCTGCTGATAACATTCTGGCTGCTAACCAACAACCCTCTGAGGCGCTGCTCCTCTAGCTCTCCGTGCTACCAATATCAATATAACACTTAGTCTGACAGTCCTCCAAAAGTCAAGTAAGTCAACTCTTGTCGAAGTCAAAGTCCTGGTCAAAGTCAACCTTCCAGGTTGACCCTACTCGCCGAGTTAGCCTACTGACTCGCCGAGTTCATAAGCTCAGAAACCCCTTTCATTCGCGACTCGACTTGCCGAGTCAGATCATGACTCGCCGAGTCTACTGATTTTCGAGTCCTGACCTGTCCAACTCATTGGGTCCCCACTCAACCTACTGATCCGAGTCTTAACTCGAAGGGTTTTGGGGTTTCGCGACTTGACTCGCCGAGTCCAAGAACAGACTCGCCGAGTCCAAGGCAATCTTCAACAGACTCGACGAGTTGTTCATCGAACTCGTCGTGTCCCTCCTAATCTTCATGCTACTCGCTGAGTCCACTCGAAGGACTCGCCGAGTCTATTAAGTCCTTCATACATTCAGAGGCTTTTTGAGTCATGCAGTGACTCCAAACTGTATATCAACTATTCCAAAGCCTATTCCCCACGAAAAGTTGCAACCTTTACGTGTAGCTAAGGAGATCAAGGCTCAAAACACTACAAACTAGGGTTTAAGACAAAGAGGCTTAACAACCAACCCAAAGACTGATGCTTTACGACATTTAGGACCTTCCCACCACTAGATCTGAAGTGGCAACCTCGTATCCAAGCCCTAAACCCGAAATGGATCTCAAACAACCATAAAACCCCCAAATCTCATAACAAAATGGACCTAGATGTAAAGGAGGGAAGATAACAGCTTATTACCTCCAAGATGAGCACAAACTGAAATAGTTCTCGGATCTACACCTCTCCTTTGAAGCAATCCTCTTGATCTTCAAGTTCCTTCCAAAGATTCCCTCCTCTAAAGCTATTTTCTCTCAAATGATGGAAGCTCACTCGAAATCTAGGATTTACAGGTTCTCTAGGGTGATATAGAGGCTGAGGAAGGGACATAACATCCCTTATATAGGGTACAACCCCCAGGATTAGGGTTTGTCTCTTCAGACCGAACTCGCCGAGTCCATTCTCCGACTCGCCGAGTCGGTCACTTACTCCTTGATTCGGATCCCGCTCGGACTCGTCGAGTTCCCCCTTGGGACTCGACGAGTTGACCCTTTGACTTAGGGTTTTCTCTCCTTTCTTGGACTTTCTGATTTTGGGTGTTACAATTTATTAAAAAAATCTTCGATTTAAAAATAAAATAAAAAAAAAAGTTTTATAATCTCTAAGTATTTTTTTATGCGTTTTTATGATTTTTAGGGTTTTTTATTTTCCAAATAACCTTTCACTATATATATATATATATATATATATATATATATATATATATATATATATATATATATATATATATATATATATATATATATGTAATTTTCATTTAATATTTTGATTAATCAAATATAATGTACAATATCATTCCAACTATATTATAAATAAGTAAAACATATATTTTATATGGATGAATAATTTTTTGAAGTGAATATATATATATATATATATATATATATATATATATATATATATTATATATATATATATATAGTGTAAACGTAAAAACATTATTTTTACTATAAACATTATATATATATATATATATATATATATATATATATATATATATATATATATATATATATATATATGGGATAATTCAAATAAAAACTATAAATATTGTGTAAACGTAAAAACATTATTTTTATATTATTATTCTGCAATGAATTTTGTATCCATGACTTTATATTATTATTCAGCTTTGAATAAATGAATAGTCATAGGTAAAAACTTAAAATAGAATTTACTATAAAAATACACATATATAAATTTATAAGAGAATAATAACATTATAATGAGTATATGAATAATTAAACGTTAATATTCATATTATAATTAGTTTAACAATACACATATACAACATTTATTATAGAATAATAATATAAACATAATGTTTTTTTGGCTTTTCATAATATTTACTGTTTTTATTTGAACTTTTATATATATATATATATATATATATATATAATATATATATATATATATATATATATATATATATATATATATATATATATTGGAGTGTACATGTACTTTAGAAATTAAATTTTTTAACAATAAATAAAAGATAATAAATTTACATTGGAGTGTGTTATGGTAATATAAATTTAAAGGTGGTTTTAACAACCGTTTCTCTTTTTCTTCACATTCTTAACCATTTCTAAATTCAAATTTTGATAATAAAAATATCAAAAAACATATTTTGCTAATATGAAACAATTTCTCATGTATTATCAATTATTATAATGTAGTTCAAAGTTTGGTTGAATTCTTGTCTAAATATAAGGTTAAGGTAGCACAATCTCACATGTTTTTCTTGTTTTCACGTTTTCATAAATTATTTGTAATTTCATGTGTGTATATATATATATATATATATATATATATATATATATATATATATATATATATATATATAAACCTATTTATTATTATTATTATTAGTTAAAGCATTAAAGATTTTGGCTATTAGTGGAATGCAACGGAAGGACAAAGGGTTGTGCTATAAGTACTCTCCTTAAACATTTTTACCCCTTCTAATATTATTATTATTATTGGCTATTAGTTAAAACATTAAAGATTTTGGATATTAGTGGAAAGTAAATGATGGACAAGGATTGTGCTATAAGTTCTCCCCTTAAACATTTTTACCCCTTATAAAATCAAAATTTTGACATTTGATTTGATATTAATTTTTTTTTGTTGTTTTTTTTGTTTTGCAATTTTTTTTTGTTTTCCAGATTTGTTTTTTTGTTTTTTTGTTATTTTCAGTTATTATTATTATTATTATTATTATTATAAATTTTGCACAAAATTTTAACATCCGGACGACAATGTAAATTCAAATGGTTATATAAAATCGGAAGCATTGTATAGCGCTCGACTAAATGTTTTCAATCCGCATAACGCACCTTGCAATTAGAATACCGTACCAATTAATATCCATAATTAATAGGGACAAACTTTGTTTTTGTTCCGATTTTATATAGTCGTTCAAATTTATAATGTTCGATTTATAAAATGTTCGCAATTTTTAATAATAATAAAAATAAAAATATTAATATTAAAATATAAAAACCTATTTAAAAACCTATTTTATATAGCCGATAGAATTTATAATGTTGTCCGAATATTAGAATTTTGTACGGATTTTATAAAAACAACAAAAAGAACAACAACAACAATAATAATAATAATAATAATAATAAAAAGAATTAAAACAACAAAAAAAGGAAAAAAAAACAACAAAAAACAAAAAATCAAATCAGAGTGGTGAAATTGGAAAATATGGAAGGTACTTATAGAAATAAGTTTGATTTTGACTAGAGTAGACTATCGCTTAGCAATATTTTATGTTTTTCATATTATTTACTGTTTTTATTTGAATATATATATATATATATATATATATATATATATATATATATATATATATATATAAATAATATTGAGTGTACATGTACTTTAGAAATTAAATTTATTAACAATAAATTAAAGATAATAAATTTACATTGGAGTGAGTTCCGGTAATATAAATTTAAAGGTGGTTTTAACATCCGTTTCTCTTTTTCTTCATGTTTTTAACCATTTCTAAATTCAAGTTTTCATAATAAAAATATCAAAAAACATATTTTCTTAATATGAAACAATTTTACATTTATTATCAATTATTATTATGTAGTTCAAAGTTTGACTGAATTCTTGTCTAAAATATAGGGTTGGGGTAGCACAATCTCATAAGTTTTTATTGTTTTCGTGTTTTTACAAATTACTTATAATTTCATATATTTATTAAAAAAACCTTTTTTTTATTATTATTTTTAGTTAAAACATTAAAGATTTTGGCATTTAGTGGAAAGTAACGGATGGACGGAGGTTTAATATAAATTTTAACATTGGAGTGGGTTACGGTAATATAAATTTAAAGGTGGTTTGAACATCTGTTTGTCTTTTTCTTCACGTTTTTAACCATTTCTAAATTCAAGTTTTTGTGTTTTTATAAATTATTTATAATTTCATACATTTATTAAAAAACCTTTTTTATTATTATTATTTTTAGTTAAAGCATTAAAGATTTTGGCATTTAGTGGAAAGTAAGGGATGGAAGGAGGTTTAATACAATATAAGTTTGTTGAATTCTTATCTAAAATATAAGGTTAAAATATAAGGTTGAGGTATAAGGTTGAGGTATCAGATCCTTATAGGTTTTTATTGTTTTTGTTTTCATAAATTATTTATAATTTCATATATTTATTAAAAAAAAACCTTTTTTATTATTATTATTTTTAGTTAAAGCATTAAAGATTTTGGCATTTAGTGGAAAGTAACGGATGGGGGAGGTTTAATTAATACAATATAAGTTTGACTTTGACCAGAGTAGACTGTGTCTTTAGCAAAAGCAAAACCCTTTACATTTTTTGAAAAACATGTTAAATATTTATGATGTCATGTTGGTCTTGTTTTCTACGAGAGTATCCCTATCCTCACCGCCAGCCAGCCCCTACACTCTCCTCCTTATTTAAGCACACAGCCTTCAACACCAGTCCATACTCTCCAACTTCATCTCTCTTGCTTTTATCTTCCATTCTAATCCACACATTAACATGAACTATCCAAGCGATTGGCCCGAACCGGTTGTCCGGGTCCAATCCTTGTCAGAAACCGGAGACACCGTCATCCCAGACCGTTATATCAAACCGCCACTTGAACGGCCGTCTCCTTCGTTTAACACAGGATCATCAGACAACTTAAACATCCCTTTGATCGATCTTCATCTTTCTGACCACCCTACAATCCAAAAGGCCACCATGGATGAAATCTCTGTAGCATGTCGTGAGTGGGGATTTTTTCAGGTGGTAAATCATGGGATTAGTCCTGAACTGGTGGACGGTGTTCGTGAAATTTGGAGGGAATTCTTTCATCAACCGATGGAAATGAAGCAAGATTATGCAAACGCACCCACAACTTACGAAGGGTATGGTAGCAGACTAGGGATACAAAAGGGTGCAATTCTTGATTGGAGTGATTACTTTTTCCTTCACTATCTTCCTTCAAATCTTAAAGATCATAACAAGTGGCCTTCACAACCACCTTTTCTAAGGTATTCCTTTATTTGAACACGTGACTAATTAGTAATCACATATATAGATTATTATATTATATATATTTGCTTTCACATCTTGTATTATATATTCAGGGACATGGTGGAGGAATATTCAAAGGAGATTGTGAGGCTTGGTAAGATTTTGCTGAAGGTGTTCTCGATAAACCTTGGGTTAGAAGAAGATTATCTGCAAAAGGCATTTGGTGATGACGACATAGGAGCATGTTTGAGAGTGAACTTCTACCCGAAATGCCCACAACCCGACTTGACCCTAGGATTATCCTCACATTCGGACCCAGGTGGTATGACTTTCTTACTTCCCGATGAGAATGTTACTGGGCTCCAGGTTCGAAAAGGTGGCGAGTGGATCACAGTAAAACCCGCCCGACATGCAATGGTTGTTAACATCGGAGATCAAATCCAGGTATTATATACATCTTCTACTTCTATACTTTATGAGTGGTTTGGTATGATTAAAATATATAAAACTCCATCATGTAAAAAATATAAAAAGTACACATAGATAATATTGTTTATTTCTCAATACAGGAAAACGGAATAGAACTGTTTATTGTTTTTCTTAATGGTAAGCAATTAGTTCAATTAAAAACTTGGAGAAAAGAAAAAAGAAACTAATATAATATATGGAATTTAATTTAATTATTATTTACACTATGTAATAATATTTAATGTCAAATCTCCCAAATAAAGGTGTAACAACCTTTTACTTAATGCATTTTAAACAAGTTGCTTAAGTTTTGATTACTAGCTAGCTGTTTCGTGGGGTATTTTGGCCCAAGTTTTTTTTGTCTAGTTAAGAAGTTGATTTGTATTAGGTTAACTTTTTTCGTAAAAAAAATAAAAATATAAATAATATTCAATTTTATGAATAGTTTGTTAAAATGAAAATTTTAAGTTTATATTACATATTTAGCTATCGTACTCTATATCTAACGTATTTTAAACTTCTTGATAGAATTGAAGTAATGAATACTTTGTATATTTAAACTAATTTTTAATTGATATGTTTGTGAAATAATTTATATACAAAATCCAGATTTGGTATATATTGAATGTGTTCTGAACAAAATAAAAAACAATTTTTTGAGATATGGTAAGAGTTGGGCAAACAAAGATGTAAGTGGACACGTACTTTAATAGGAAAAAGAGAATCTATCTTATTTATTATTTGATATATATTGGTAAATAATAAAAATTAAAAATAAAAACATGTTTTTGACATGAGTATTGGGTGCGGGTATGTCAAAAGGCTCATGCAGGGTCATTATCAATCTCTTCATGGCCATTAAGACTCTTGGCCGTAGTTTTTGGAATACCATCTTTTATGCCGTTTTGTTTGTGTAGTTTGGATAATAGATTTGATTGTTTCAAACCGTAGAAAATTCAAAATTATATAAGACATTTATGTATTATATGAGTTAATTTAAAAAAAATTAAATATAGTTCAATTTATAAGAAAATTAATGAGTTATTATAATATAAATGTTTTTTATTTTTTAAATTTAAACAAATAAAAAAAACTAATAAACTTTAATTTTTAGAAATTTGAAATTAAAAGTTAAACTCATTAATGAAATTAATATCCATTTATTACTACATTTGTTATAATTATTATATTAAATCATTATGTAGAATTTACTAAAATAGAAAAACTCATAAAATTATAATTATTATATTAAATCATTATGTAGAATTTACTAAAATAGAAAAACTCATAAAATGACAAATGAAAAAAAAAAAATCAAAATAACCAACAAATAACATTTGATAATTTGAAAGAAAGTGTAACAAGTGGCAAAAAAAACCTTTATTTGTTATATATATATATATATATATATATATATATATATATATATATATATATATATATATATATATATATATATATATATATATATATATATATACAGAGAGAGAGAGAGAGAGGAGTTATTGTGCCAACTAAAAAAAGCAAGTGAATTTGTAGACTCAAAATCAACTCATTATTTCTCTAACACCAAAAACATCAATTTTCTCAAAATGGTAAGTTTAAACCATATTTTAGCTAAAAAAAAAGATTTGACAATTTCTTTATTTATTTTCGAAATTTGCATGTATACACAATCAATAGTTGTATGGACTGTTGATGAACACACTCATCAGCCATATGAACTTCAGATGTGCACAATCAGCAGTCATATGGATTGTTGATGAGCAACTAGAAGTCCACATGACCGCTGATTGTGCTCATTAGCAGTTTATATAACTGTTAATTGTGTTCATGAGTAATCATACCAAAAAAAAATCAAAAAAAAAAAAATCACCAAATCTTTTTTATAGCCTAGATATGGCTTAGACACGTAATTTTGAGAAGATTGATATTTTTATTGTTGAAAAATGATTAGTTGATTATAACTTCGTAAGTTCTCATAAACTTTTGGTTTTCAAAAGAACATGGTTCTCTCTCTCTCTCTATCTCTCTCTCTCTCTCTCTCTCTCTCTATATATATATATATATATATATATATACACACACACACACACACACATAGAGAGAGAGAGAGAGAGAGAGAGAGAAGAGGAGGACTTATGCAAAAATGTAAATAATTTCCTAAAACACGAAAACAAAGAAAACCTATAAAATTGTGTCGCTTCAACATTATATTTTGGATAAGAATTCATCTAAACTTTGAAGTGCATGGTGATAATCAATGATACATCAGAAATTGTTTCATATTAGCAAATCATGTTTTTTCACATTTTTATTATGAAAATTTGAATTAAAAAGTGGTTAAGAACGTGAAAAAAAAAATAGTTGTTAAAACCACATTTAAATCTATATTACCATAACACCCTCCAATGTAAATTTATTATTTTGAATTTATTGCTAATAAATTTAATTTCTAAGACCGGAAGGAATGGGAGGGAAGCTTCCTTCACTTTTGGTAGACCATATCCCTCTTTCCCTCACTCTCATTTCCCTCACCTAAAAGTCAAGGAGTGGGTGGAAAGCCCTTCCTTCACTTTTTTTTTATAAATATATTTCATATATATATTATACTCATTTTGTAGGGAATTAAAACCATAAATGTTGATATATTCTTTTAGTATGTATATAATTTTACAAATATTAAATTTTTTTTGACCAATAGCATGAAAGGAGAGAGTGCAGCACCCCCTCCCCCCCATCTCTTTCCCGCACATGTTTTCCCTCACCTTTCCGTCATCCACGGAGTGGTGTGCAGGAGTGAGGGAAGCTTCTCTCACCCATTTCCCGCATCCACTCCGTCCGGCCTAAAGTGCATGTGTCTGGTTTTTAGAAGATAAAATTTGTTTTCGTATTTTCGTAAAATATTTATGTTTTCGAATGAACATACTTGTGTGTGTATATATATATATATATATATATTAACTTTTCTTATATGTAACCTATCATTTTTTTACCATACCTCACTCAAGTTTCTTTATCTTTCACCATCTTTGTTATAGTATCTATATAATTTTCAAATTCCATATAGTTCAAAGTTTAATTTTGTAATAAAACCGCTTTTAAACCGAGATCACGTTTATACCAACATGTATATCATTTTTAAAGCACAAAAAATAATAAACTTTTTTTGTTGTTGTTGTTTTTTTGTTTTTTTTTTTGTTGTTTTGTATAAATTAAAGCACTAATCTTTAAATTATAAATGTTAAAAAGAAAAAATTTAAAGAAGTTTTTTATTTTGGTAAATTGTGAATCGAATGTGTATGCATACGTATAAAAAATGATGAACTTTAATATTTTTGTTTTTTTTTTTTTTAAATAATGCTTGAAAAAAAAATCAACATCGCATGTAGGCATATAATCAAAAATATAATATTTGAAAATAAATAAATTGTGTTGTTGTTTATGGATATATATCATTTTTAAAACATAAAACATATAAGCTTTGACATTTAAGAAAAAAAAAACTAAAACTCTAAAAGTTAAAAAAAAAAAAAAAAAAAAATCATTCAGGCATGTAGATCGTGTAAATTGTAAAAAGACAATATTTTCAAAGATTTTTTTTGAATTGCTATTTATACCACTTTTTTTAATTATAATTCTTGTTTTCTATATATATTTTTAAATGAAGTACTAAAAAGGCTTTTTTTTTTTTTATAAATAATAATAATAATAATTCATGCATGGATATTTTCTTTTTTCCTTGTTTAAGTGAAATAAGAATCTAAATCAAACATAATGAATTATTAGATCGATAAAAAATAAGATTATTCATAAGAAAATAAATCCCAAGAAAACAACATGATTCATTTTTCAATAAATTAAGCAAATATTTATTTTTATGATAATTTTAATAAATAATAACAAAATCATTGGAAAATTAATCATTAAGAGATGTTTTTTGGTGAATTTTTTTTATGAATCTTTTTTTTATTCATCTAATGATTAATTTTTTTGGTTCATCAAAAAATATGTATTTAAAAACTTCTTACCTTTCTACTGAAAATTTCTTTCTTACGGATCTCTCTCTCTCTCTCTCTCTCTATATATATATATATATATATATATATATATATATATATATATATATATATATATATATATATATATATATATATATATATATATGGAATGGTAGCCAATGTGAACATAAAAGCAAGCAAAAGTATTGTTATCAATAATTACATATTTTCCCCTATTAAATATAGGATTAAGAGTAAAGAAAGTTAATGGTTCCAAGAATGTGAACAAATAAAATAATGTGGCACTTATTCGTTTGGATTAGTATGCTATTTATTTTAAATTTTAAATTACTTATTGGTGGAATACTTTAAGAACTTACAGAACAGTATTATCTGTCATCAGAACATGCAAGTATTGTAATTACATAACTTCATTTTCATAATATATATGTTGAATTACATACTTTTATGATAATTATATCTTTTTTGCTGAACATTTTACGTATTCAATTAATAATCAAATTCATTTTCTATGAGTTCGTGATGAATAAATTTTAAAAATTAGTTTAACATATGAAATGAAAAAAAAAAAGTTGTCCGAATTGTAGGAAGTATGCATTATGTGTAACTGTAAAGCGTAATTAAATTCATGTATATATAATTTTGTAGATTTTAACCAATGCGATATACAAAAGCGTGGAGCACAGGGTGATAGTAAACCCAGATAAAGAAAGAGTGTCGTTAGCCTACTTCTTCAATCCCAAGTGTGATGTACTTATTGCACCTGCATCAGAGCTCGTTACGTCGAAGACACCTGCCCTTTACCAATCAATGACTTATGATGAATATAGACGTTTTATCCGAACTAAAGGCATACAAGGAAAATCCCAAGTCGAGTCTTTAAAATTTCCAAAATGAGTCATTTTGTTTAACGAATCTTGTTCTTATGACTTTTTTCTTTTTTCATGATAAAAGGATGTGTCCATACATATTTGGGGCTCTACACAAAAGAAGAAAACGAGGCTAAAATTATATAAAGGATGATGGTCTTTTTGTTTTTGTTTTTTTTTTAATGGAGACCTTATTATAAATTTATTCATAGATTGGTTTTTAATAGTTTATTTATTTTATCACTTAGGTACAACATGATATTATTTTAACTTATAAAAGAATGTCAATTAAAAACACAAGTAAAGGAAACAAAAGCACTTCATTGTTAACTTGTGATATTAAATCATTTTCAGAATAGAATAAGAATTTCCTTGATTCTAACAACAATGATTTGAAAACTTGTGATTTGGATATTTCAAGTTATCTATTAAAAATCAGAAAGAAAACACATAAATTGACTTTTTATCAAAAAAAAAACTTAATTTCAAAGAAGTGAAGATAATAACGAAATTTTACAATTTACACAAATCAAATTAACATGAATCAGAAATGAGATTAACACAAATTAGATGAATACAAATCAGAAATCATAGTGATGTTCCCTAAAATTAGATTAAATTAGAGTGATGTTGCCTAAATTAGTTAACACAAATACATGATCGACTATTAAAGGATTTTGTAACATCCCAAAATTCAAGATCAAAACTTTCAGTTTTAATTAAGTTATTATAAAACCAATAGTATAAATATAATACCATCTCATGTCAAAACCCAAAGTGTCAATAATCAAAACGTGTTATCATAAAACAATATCATAGTGTAATCCCAAAGATCTCATGTGCGGAAAACATAGTGTGATGCGCTGCGATCGCCGACTCATTTCCTTTGAAAATGAAGTACCTGAAACCGAAATTGAAAACCATAAACACGAAGCTTAGTGAGTTCCCCAAATACCACATACCATACATATCAACATACTGCCTAGCATATCTCGGTGCTGCCCTACCCATTCGGTCTCTTTCAACCTGATATTGTCTAGCATATAAGCATATAAATCACATAATATCATACATAACCATGAGCCATACATATATCATAATCAATAAAGATGTTATGTGCCAAACATAGTCTTGCCATTATGCCACGAGCCACCACGTGGTCTTTCTTGCCAAGCCAGGGGCTACCCCCTCGGTCTTACATACAAGTGCCAAGAGCCACCTCCTGATCTTCCATGCAAGCATCACAAAGACATCTATCATACATACCACTCTACTTAGCCAATTAGCATACATTGTGCCAAGAGCCACTTCCTGGTCTTTCATACATAATGCTTAGGGCTAACCCCCGGGTCTTCCTACCATACATAATAGCATACAGTGTGCCAGGAGCCACCTCCTGGTCTTTCATACATAATGCCTAGGGCTAACCCCCGGGTCTTCCTACCATACATAATAGCATACAATGTGCCAGGAGCCACCTCTTGGTCTTTCATATATATTATCTAGGGCTAACCCTCGGGTCTTCCTACCATACATAAACCAAATGGCCTGACATTGGTGCCTTAGACCCATACAAACATTGAGGAGACTCACCTTGCACTGCTGAAGTCCCGCAGACAAAACTCTAGCTGCTGGATGACAGATTCTCGAACTGTCAACATCAAAATAACACCCAATTAATAATTGGGTTCCAATACATAACCATAAGTCCATGCTTGGGGTAAATGACTACTTTACTCCCCATCTTAGCTTGATTCAAGCTCAAGGCCCAATCTAAAGGCCCTAAATTCAAACTATGAATCAAGACCCAACACATGGCCTAATTTTCCAAATTGGGCCCAAACCTCTACATGGTCTTACTCTAAGGCCCAACCATTTAGTACAATCTAAACTTTTGGTATTCCAATGGTCCAACCTTTCATAATCCTCAAGGCCCAGATTATGTCCCATCTATGGCCTAAGTTTCCAAATTGGGCCCAACCCCTCATAGGGGCCTTAACCTAAATCCCATCTAAATATTATAGTCCATATGATTATTCTTGGATGACCCATCAATAGCCCAATCACCAAAGCCTAATAGAAAGGCCCATCTCGAGGCCCAATTTAAAATTAGGGTTTCTTACATGAAATGATGATTAGGGTTAAGTGTTTCTTATTTAACCCATTAAGGACTTAATCCATTAAGTCCATCACTCTACTAGATAACTCATATGGTGTGGTAGGGCTTAATACATAATCCCAATATGTTTGTCCAAAATGCGGCTCTCAACAATCCGAAGCCCATATATCCAAAATTAGGGTTTTCTAAACCCTAATTAGGGTTTCCCACCCATCACAACCCAATTAGGCCCAAAAACTAAGTCTTTAGGCCTATTAGGGTTTCATTAGGTCAATTAGGGTTGTCCTAAGTCTGGCATCACTTACTACAACATCGGGTAGTGGTGGTCAGCGGCGGCAGCCACCACCTCACGATGGCGGTTATGATTCTAGTCCAATTATTTCCAAGCATCAAATACAAGCTAAACACAAGTAAAAGCACACTGCCATCCAACACGATGGTCGGTGGCGGCAGAAGGTGGCAGCCACCACCTCATGTTGGTGGTTATGAATTTCTTGGTTCTTCCGTCACTAATTACAATTATACAATACAAAATCCCAAAATAAACATACACACACGATGAGATAAACACATACACACAACCACCCTTGTGGTGGTACAAGGTGGCAACCACCATGGTTGGCGGCCATAGTGGTTATCTTCTTAGTTTTTCGGCCATCAAACACCATATACAACACTCCATCGGCAATAAACACACATAACACCAAAACATGCATATCCATCGCCAAAAATGCACTAATCTCGGACATCTATGTGGTTACGAACGTAAAAGCCGCAGTGGAATAGTCGTCGAAACCACAGCAACGACGCAACACCGGAACAGAAACGAAGAAGGAGGAGAAGAAGAACAATACAACAGGGAGGTGATGGTTATCCTCCATCTAGAACAGCAGCAACGGGTCATGCTATCACAAACCTCCACTGCCCACGGTTGGACATCGACTTTGTAGCTTGTAGTTTCGCCGATAACAAAACAACGAAGATGATTGACAGTCCTTGTGTGATACCGGCGGTGAGAATGGTAGCGAAACAGAAGAAGAGATGAGGTGTTTCCGGGAATGGCAGCAACATTTGTCACGACGTCGGTCTTCAGCAAAATTTTGGTTTCTCCGGCGGTAACCATGGTGACATTGGACCGGTGTTTTGTAACCTCGACAATGGGAGTGGCGACGCAGGCCGGAAAGGTAGAAACGGGTTGGCAGCTGGAAGATGACCAGCTAGGGTTAGGGTTTACCCCTTATATGTGGAAGCGCTTGGAGGGTGATGGGTGAAACCCGTATCCCATGTAACTTCATATAGATATGATGCTTCCAGCCCCTCCCATACATAATCTTTTCAAAATAAATCCCTAAGCTACCATTCAGCCCTCGGCATTCCATAAATCTTCCAATTTAAGTCCCACATTTACCAAACATCCCTTAGCTTTCAAGATTCTTCGCAAAGCCAATCCAGAATTTACCCTTTTAAACCAAAAAACCTCAATTATGACATATTCAACCCTTCCTTCTCTTTTTCTATCAAATCAAATCCAAATTTACCCAAATAGCCCCTCTTCTACAAAATATTTTCAATATAAGTCCAAAAACTACAAAACAAGCCCAATTGATTATCCTTTAGGTATATGTTCATATATTCTTACACTACTAACCCCGAAAAGCACTCTTTAGACCTCTACAACAAATTATAATGCGAATTTCGCACTCTTCACTAAACTCTATATTTAATTATAGACATATATTGGAATAAAATAATACTTCAAACACATCTTCGTATTTTAGGGTTTGTCTTCGAAACGGAGTGTTACAGATGTGTAAAATCAAATTATCATAATCGATGTATTAAGAAAGATTGAAATCAGAACCAGAAAACATGATTTGACATCGGAATTCAAAAGATTGCATGAACAAAAAAAATCATAATTTCTTTATTATGAATATATTTTTTGTTACCGTTGAAAGAATCAAAATTGATTCATGAAGTTTTTCAATTGATAACAGTAAGAAGCCCAATGTGATAATTATTCCAAATGAATTGCAGGCCCCTTAATATTATTCACTATTCTTCCTTATGTGACCTTGCTTCCACTCTAAGTAGACTTCAACAATAGTCCCTGAGTTGCTCCTACAAGATCACAGAGAAAAGAGGCAGTCAGCCGTTTCCCGGGAGGGGCCTCCCGGAAAGACACTCTGATGGTCAAGTCAGTAGGGTTTAAAGAGTGTGTATGTGTGGAGCTTGGAAAATGTGTCTTACCTGTCGGGGTCATGTGTTTTTCCTTTTATACTCAATAATCCCGCTCGTCCGTACGAGACAGGATCTCTTGAGCCGATAGGATCCGAGGAGCTGATTGGAGGATCACTCTCCTCTACTTGTTAGAGCGATGTCATTGGTCCTACCAGTAATGCTCTGATCCCTTGGTTTGTCCTCTAGCCGTATCTTTTGTCATGGAGCTCTGGGGTGCCTTTGGCGGGCACGAGCCTCTTGCGAGGACGCCTTTGACGGGCACTTTCCTTTTACTAGAGCTCCCTGCCCTTGGTGGCGCTGGCGGATGCTAAGCCCGATGGGCCTGATCTGCCGGATGCGCCAACCTTCTGAGCTGGGTGCAGCCCTTTTGTGCTAGCTAGGGCATGTTATCAAGTCCCCCAGTCCAGTAGACATAGCGTTGTTGCGCTAGCTACGATGTTCTAGACTTAATTTCTCTATACATGCCTATTTTTTATTCGCCCATCGTTCCGGTTTTTAATGGTGACGTGGTCGCTCATCATGGCTGGCGGTTACATCATGTGTCAGAGATTTTGAATATCCCGCATTTCCTCTTCTCATATAAGGGCATTTATGATCATTTTTCTTTTCCCTCACGTTTCCTCTTCTTTTGTTCACTTTTCTTCTTCCATTCTTTCCTTCTCTTCTTCTATGGCTAATTCATCTGGAAATCTTCCTTCTAATGTTGAGTATCAGTATTTGGAGGAAACCTGTGGTCTTTCTTCAGCGGATGGGGCGTGAAAATCTTTTCTTTACATGTCTGTTGTCTTTTGAACCAGTACTACTGAACT